CCAACAAATATGTAGAAGGAAGTGGAGATGGATTGGGCATGCACTAAGAAGGCCGACTGGAGACATCACGCGTCAGGCCAGTCGCTCGAGTGGAATTCCCATGGGAAGCGACGAGTTGGGTGTCCTAGCTGAGGGTGACATGGAGGAGGTCGTGCGAGGAGGAAATGAGAGCTTGTGGGCTGTCATGGAGCCAGGTTCAAAAGATCTCAGAGAACAGAGTTCACTGGAGACGTGCTACTGAAGCCCTATGTTCCACTAGGAACCCAAGGGACTAATAATAATAATAATAATAATAAGTCGGACCTCGTAGCTTAGGTGTAGAGCGTGGGGCCGGAAACCTAGTGGTCGTTGGTTCGAATCCGGCCGTTGTTCGCATTTTCATATCACCTTCAATCATCGCCCAGTATATATAAATTACACTATCATCCACAATCCTAAAGAATCAAAATTTTAATTATAAGTCCATTCTTATTCTTAAATGCATTCGCAGTGAACTCCACCTGTTAATATGTTAACGAAATTGATTTTATAACTGTAGAACCTGATGATAAGTTATTGAAAAAAATATTCTTCGTTCATATTTGACTTTTAATTTATAAAACGGGAATTTTTAATTTTCTAAAAGATATAGTTTGATCAAAAACTTTCACATCAGTCTGGAAAATTAATAATTTTATGTAATCTAATCTTAAGTGCTGACCGAAATCTACTAATCACTTCGTAATGTGGTCAACAAGCTAGGAAACTTATCATCACGTTGCACTTCGACTGATTATAATTAGTTGGAGGAAACTGACAGAGAGCCGTGGCTGTAGGTTTCATGCTTATCAATATTCCTAAATAAAGTGTCTCTGCAACCTCGGAGGAACTAATGTCCCCTCAAAAATTCTAGCCTACGTCACAAAGTCTCACAATCAGTGTTCTTGCCGCTGAGCACTGGATGACGTGGGTTCGAGTCCCAGGGGCGATAGCAGTTCCTTGACATGCCTTCTGGCAAGAGCTAGCAAACGAAAACTCATGTCCAGGGATCCCTGTCGACAGCTTCGAATTGACTGACACTTTGTGTTAAATACTAGCAGTAGTCTTTAGTTTCAAGATCATTTATTTTTACTGATGATATGAAATACAGAGTAGATGAATTGATATTGCATGCAATTTCGATTTGGATGTAAATATAAGAGAATGTGTAATTTTAAGACAATATGATAGTATTCTAGACAAGACTGTGTCATATAATGTGTTTATACTATGGTGTACAGTTGGATCGTCTTAATCTTATTTAGAACAGTTGCAAATTCCAGTGTTGCCTCTATCACTATTATTCAGACACCAATAATGGATGATTACAATAGAAGGATTTTAAAATTGAGTGTCATTAGACTAACTAGAAAGGTAAGCATAGTTTTAAACAGAATAGAGTCTAAACAGAAACCTATTAAATCAAGATTTTAATCTTGGTTTAATCAGGCATTGTAAAACATGTAATAATCCTTAAATTCAGATACATTAGAATGAATTATGGTTTAGACATTCTTATCGCTTTTCCAAGTGCTATTCTTTAAGTGTAGTCAAATGAGTACCTGTTTTGAAAGAGTATGTTGATTTGTAATAACAAGTGCCTGCATGAGCAACTTTATTTTTGAAAATACTTCTGTGAACATGCTTTTCTTGTTCTAAGTGGTTAATTGGTTTGATAACTAATCTTGAGTGTTCTTCCAGCATGCCTCCAACCTTCTCTTAGACTTAGGATGCTGAGTAACAAGGATTTTGAATAAAAGAAAACTAAGCTATCTGGAAGGAAGGAAGCCAGAGCAAGACAGGAGAAAAAGGTAAGTTGTGGCTAGTTGTGATTTGCAGGCTGCTAGATGCATACGAGTGACTGGCGCTTCCGGCTGTTCCCCTTCCTATGGAAGTCGACTACTTCGCTTACTTAGGATGTCTAAATCGATTGGTAGCGGACAAAATCTTAGTTCGCTTGCAAAAGATCCGTTTCATATGAGCAAATTTATGCTATCTCTGGCGATGCAGTATGTTGTGTCGAAATACACAGCTGAAACTTGGCCTCTGGAAAATTTATGCAAAAAGGTTACAGATTTTGGACTAAGTATATCTTCATAACATTGTTCGAATGGAGTGCAACTATCACGTGGGGTCGAAGTCAGGGAGAAGGTACAAAAAAAGAAGACAAGCTAATGGATGAGGCTTTAAACCTTCACTAGCTGGGGTGGCTTAGGGATGTGTTGCACATTCCCAGCCTCTACCTGCCTAAATTTACAGTGTTAGGCAGAGTAAGATTGAGTTAAAAGAAAGTTAACAGTGGCTAGGCCAAGATACGATGCCAGTCTATTAAGTCTCTGGCCGTTGATCTGAGCAGTGTACGGAGATGCACGTAACCGGATTGTGATCCTTAAGAATGAGTGGCTGATAGTTTTTGTGACTGAATTCAGAATCACTCCCGGTGACGCAGTTGTATTTACTCTGATATCTATGAAAGTTTGACTATTTTCACGAAGCTTCATTTGTTTCTTCATTACCCTGCCACAAATTTTTGTCGACCTTAATATCACTCTTGTCTACGTGTTTATCGTATGTCATTGTGTAAGGTAGAAACTACAACAATAACATTCCTGAACAATTTTCCATGTAGATTTTTCTGTCTTTATTTTGTTACGGTTGAGAGATTAAGGACCTTTCAAAGCTTCATGATAAAACATCTGGAGAAACTGGGAATAAGAATGGTTGAAAGGACTGACTTTGAGGGAGCTATATGTTTATAATTAAAGTGATAAATCTAGGATACTGAAGATAATTGATTATCTAACATGGCTAAGAAATTACTGTCGGCAATCGGAAACGAACTTCGAGACAAAAATTCTGTGAGTAGTAATCAAGGTGAGAACCGAAACAAGAAAAATCAAGAGACACGGAGTCAAAGAGATGGAAAACTATGTTTGATAAGTTGTGTCACAACTATAGTTAGAGATTTGAACTTCAGAATTGCAACGGTCTCTAGAAATATTACAAGAAGAGGATTGTGTTGTTTGTCGTTAAACTTGAATGGGTTTGTCATCATGCTTTTCATCCAGTGAATATCAAATAATCGAGTTCTTCATAGTTTTAAGACCAGCCTGCTTAATATTCCTAAGGATCGGGTTAAACGTGACGTGTAGGCACCTATTTTTCTCTCTTCCCAATGTACTTACTTTAGTTTCCGTAAACTGATATGCCAATGTCTGCTTATCTTACTGATAAGTGTTTTGTAGATGGGTTATAATTTTGCTGTTAAGCGTAGTTTCTAACATTTGTCCTGTTTGATTTGCATTCGTGAAAGAAACTAAGTACCTGAAAACGTAATCTGAGTTTGCCTTCTAGTAATCATGTTGCTCTCAGTTATTTTTATATAATCAAAAGCATCTATCGTTTGTTTTTTGCACCTACTTTAGAGACAAACACCAACTGTCTATTTCATCACTGAGACAGATACCTTTATATCTATTTATTCAGTAAACTATGAAATTTATTAGCAAAAACATGAATATTGGAGCATATTGAATAAGACTATTGTTGGCAAAATCAAGCTGTTTTTAATTCGTTATAAATGTGAAAACGAATGATATAAACGGTTAATTAGAGAAAGCAAAAGAAAACAACCAAAGAATCCAGTAAAAACAAAACAATCACAGCAATGGCTATTTTGAATGATTCACCTACTTTGGTATGGACCAGTGATTGCACAAATTCACAAATAAGGACTGGTAGGAGGATGTTTTGAACCAATTCATTACGTACTAATCATTATTTAATGGTTTCCTTTGATCATGCATAGTTTTTAGTAGAAAGCAGAAATTCCCACTTTTGCGAATTGATCGTCGATCTTTTTCAGAAACACTTACCAGTTGATACATTTCACAATTATGAATAAATGGCGTAAAATACGAATCTTAAGTACCTTTCGAAAATTCCCTCTTTTTGCATAAGATTTCGCTGTAATTCACTTTCTTCGTACTGTGTAATCTGTTTTTGAGTTTTCAAGTTGTCTAGGGATGTGTTATAAGTTAGTAAGCTAGTCGTATTTCGATAATCAATTAATTTTAATGCACTTCCCATTTCAATGGAATCAATGAATGCCCACGATGAACCTGTTAACTCAACAATTGCATTACGGTAAATATCTAAAAAATTTAATCCTTCTGCTTTCATAGGATTATTACTACGAGTAGAAATAAATGATTTTCGTGGAGGATGAATGAGATTTAACAACAGACAACTTATTCTATGCGATGTTTATCCTTTGAAGGACTTGAAAATTCAGCAACTAATAAGGAATTTAGTTTCTATACTTGAATAATACTACCTAAAAATTGATGTTTTTCTTTCAACTAACTGACTATCTTGTGAAGATGTTCGTTTAGAAAAGATAAGTGATTGTAACTGTTTATTTAACAATGACAAGTCATTTCGTTTCACCCTCCTTGCTGTTAATTCAGCTTATGCAAATTCTACTGTAACATCCATTAGTAGTTTGCTTTCTTTTGTTTCAACTCTGGTCGCACATAACGACTCTATATTGCCCTTACTAAGAATCTGCAATGCCGGTCGACATTCGCCAACATCAGCATAAGATGATGGTCAAAATTTATTTATCTCCCCATCTGTTAATACCTCATTAATTTCTGACTCAACGTCCATGTTCTCTAGGGCAGTATCAAAACTTTTGTTATCATCAATATCTACGCCATCCCCAGGTGTCATGGAAAAGTCTGATGGGGTACAATTGCTATTCCTGCTTCTGCAGTTGTTCTTCTACTGATCCTTCTGTACTAACGTTTGATGATGACAACTGATGGTAGTGATAGCAATGGTCATGGTTTGCATTCTTCATGTGTAGCCTATTTACATCTTTCTGGTTATCAAGTGACTGACTCAAAGGACATGCTACTGAAAAATAAAAATAATCATTCATTTCTTTAGACAACAGTTTTGAACAAAATATGGGTGTTTTAGATACTAGAAAGTATTTTTTTTACATTCGTCCCATCACAGCTATCAACGATACCACTATCACCAATCATAAAATAATGTTCACTGTGATTCATTTTACCATTCATACAATTTGATGTTACACAAATTCTTAGATTATGTAATGTTGAGGAGCATTTACTTCGAAACTGTTCCAAATGAGATTTTTCATTTGACAAATTAAATGAATTCGTTATGGTATATCTTAAATAGCTTTGAATAACCGCATTCCTATTCTTTTTGGCCAAACTGTCCTCTTCATCATTTGCCATTGTCAGCACTTCTTTTTTCCTAATAAAATTCTCATCAGATGATCTAAGTCAAAAGTCATCCATTATATCAATTTGTTGAATAATTGTATTTACCTATTTTTCTATAAAATATAATGTTACATTGTTTAACTTCGTGAAATAGGGTTTATTAATTGATAAAGGTGATGTTAAGCTTCGAGATGATGAGTTTTGATTAAAACAAACATTCACTGAGGAGTGCATAGGTGTTAGTTAACCATCAGTCTTCGATACTTTGTGTTTTGCGTCATATACTTCAGTATATGATAACTTTTCACTGTGTAGTGTAAATATTTTTGACACTGATCCAAGTGATGATTTACTAATATATTTAGGTGATAACAATCACTGGCATAACTGATCACTATTACTGAATGTTAAATTCCTTCGAATGTATGGTACATAATATAAACAATCTAGCACATGTAAGTCGTACAAGCTTATCAAATTTAAATGCCGATAAGAAAAACGTGATGGTATTTGGGATAAAGCTGTTTGGTATTCTGAAGCATCATCTTCATCATTACGTGCACAATCTCCGTAGTAGTTGATTTCCAGTGTTCTGGCTTTTTGAGTACTTAGCGAACTGTTCTCATAATGCATAAATCCATCGACTGGTATAAAATCAGTCGTAGTCACTGATGCTGTTGTATTTGCTATATTTCTGTTAATTGGTGGACAACTGATAACGACCTCTTGTACTTCACGCGGCCAGTCTATAATATACAAAAACAAATAACACTTTATTTCATTTATATTACAACCATATTGGTAATCATCTTCAACTACACGTGGGTAGTTTTTTCTACCCATCAGGAAATTTATACATTTCGATATGTGAAAAAGAAAGCCTAAAATAATAATGGTATGGACATCTATGCTGGTCCAGATATTTTTATCTCATTTTTACTACCTCTACAACTGGCATAACGCACCTTGTTAATTTCTTCTAAAGTAATATGATTACCGTTTTAAACAGACAGTATTGATTTCATTATGTGACTTTACTGAAAGCTTTATTAAATAGGTCAGCCTATATATATATATATATATATATATATATATATATATATATATATATATATATATATATTGGGTTGAAGTGTTATTTTCAAAAACTTCATCATATACTATGCATCAAGAATCCATTCATGCAACTGGCGAAAGCTATGGTCTTTTGGAAAATTGACTCACAGGCCTGAATCAACCTCGGGACGCTAAGGGCTGCCTCCGCATCAAATGGAGGAAACCGCTTCATGGTGTTAAAATCATCTCAATATCCTTGGTACGCACCGCTAATAAGCATGAGCAGCGTATATGGATGCAAGATGCATGTCAGTCAGCAACTTATATCATATGCGATTCAGGCTACACCAAGATACTCTCACTGAAATGCTGAGCAGCTGGAATATATTTTATACAGTCCATTCTATGCTTATAAATAGAAATCCTGTCCATTTCAGAGAGAAAACTCTATTCGTCATAGGAGTGGGAAGTGTATATATGAAGTTTTGGCCACAGTTTGAAAGTGGAATCTCTAAGAAAATTCTGTTGCTAGATATATCGAGAAAAAATCACAGCCACCTTCATGTAAAATGTGCATACATCAGTCTGGATGAAAACCTTTACTAAACGACTGATTCATTGGCAAAGTGTAGAAAAGAACAAGTTCAATACCTCAGCACAAATTGGAGACACTACCTTTGCGGATTTTATTTCGTCAAATCATTACTGATAACCTAAAGCCACGAACGACAATTTGCAAAAGTGCTCGAAGAATTCAGTCAGCACTTAGGACTAGACAGAATGAACTCGGTTATTCTCCAGTGAACAATCAACTCACCTATAGGTCAACTGTCGCCTGAATAGCTCAGTGATAGCGTCATTGACTGTAGCGCTGGATGACACATACATTTTGAAAGACTAATAGCTGTATAGTTATGGCTTGAGTATCAAAAGGATTTAGTTTTTGAGACCATCTTTTGACTAGCAACAAATGATTTCCTTATAAAAACTGTATTTCAGGTAGAAGTTCTTCCATACGATTAATAGGTGAACGATGTACTTTTTGTTTGTGCACAGATGTTAGCTTACCAACACCTGCAAATTCATGTTATTGAGACACTGTATACAGAGACTGTGTTTCGACTTTCGATTCACACATGAAAGAAGTCACACTTAGATTTTTGATGGAGTCAAACACTTGAATGCATCACAAAGAATCAACGTTGCATTTATACATAGAAGGAATAAATCAACAGATTTATATTCATTTTGCGTACGTCTCCAATAAGTTTGACTGTGGGTTAACAGTAGGTTTGAGATACTATGTGATGGACGAATTATAAAAGTGAGAAAAGCGAATTTTTTCAAGAATTTTATATTGACAGCTGAAAGTCATCATAATCGTTATGCCGAATTTCACTTTTAATTACTTCTTGTTCACTTCTGAAGACTTTCTACTATTTGACTACTTTTGTCCTTGTCTTTCATACTGGTGCTTTCTACCATGAACTGCTAATGAGGTCGGTTGATTTGAATGGGCAGACGGTAATGTCAATCCTTATGTTGATATTTACTTACTGCTTGGAGAGCGCTAGGGATGGAAAAATACCTTCAGCTCTGGCTATACTATCCTTCACCCGACCGATAGCTGGTATTTTGACGTAGTGGTCAAAATTTCACATTACAATGATCCAATAAGCAATACTGTTGACACGCTTGCTCTCTTGAAGTCCTAAGATAACAGAAAAACAAGCTGGTGAGCGGTTAGACAAAAGGAAGTTACTGCTATAGTGCAAAGTTGCACGGTATGATGGGAATCCGAGGGTGAAGTACTAATGCTGGCTAGGTGGGGTATTACAGCAGAAAGGTGTTTCCCGCTGAAAACCAGAAGTACCACGCTGATGCTGCCCTTCCAATAGAAAGGCGGATTGCCAGAAAAGGTAGGTCCTTAAATACCAAATCATTCAGTAGCCGGTTGCATGCCTATGAGGGCGAAATAGTTTAACAGACGGATTAAAACTATCAAACTAAAATATCGAAACTACAAAAAAGGTGTGTATGATAGGCATCAAGCACATGTCCCTTATGCTCTGCGATCACGTGCGAACCCATTTCTTCCAGATACCTCAGGAAGAACTAGCCTTCCACAATGTGGGTAACTGGGATGTATCCACAACCCTCACAACTCAGTCACTAATTAAATCCCCTCAGATCGTCATCCCCCTTCCACATCCTTAACTTCTAGTCTTCCTTCACATCTCTCGGTCAACATTCCTACATCATATTCCATTTCTTCCAGCTCTTCAGTTCTTGACAGCGATCTGAATACATGAAATAGCATCCACGGTATTGTGACGCCGCATTACAAGCTACACTTTGGACCCTTTTAAGGTCTGCAATGTCCACCAAATCAACCAACTAGCTTCTCTAGGCTATACTGCAGTACATTCGGCCATGAAAGTGCATTGAGTTTGCACGGCTATTCACTTTAACTCAACCAGCCAGTTTCTAGAAATTCGATATCGAGTTCTCGTAGTGTTCCAGGTGTGGCTATGGCATTGAGTGCTAACGCAGGAAGTGCACTGTTCAGCTGTATCCCAGATGACAATCGCCTATGTTCTGTCCCATTGAACGGTGTAGAAAGGCCTGAGAAGAGTAGTGAGACTCGCCGTTATCTCTTTGTAATCTCAGCTTACGCACCCACTGACTGAAGGTCGAATGAAGTGAAAGATGAGATCTACCAAAAACAGTCTAGTCTCCTACTGAAAGCCAAACTTTTCGACATGGCTTTAGTAGCGGTCGATTTCAATACGTAAGTGAATAGGGTGAGACAGGTAGTAATACATATAGGAACCTCAGTCAAACGAACAGATAACGGTAATCGCCTGTTATAACTGTGTTCAGAAAACATTCTCTATCTGGGAAGCGTGAACTTCAGATATAAGGAGAGAAATGGACTGACGTGACTATCACCAATCTAAACTGTCAGTATAGATAAGCTACATTGCTACCATTTATCGCTGTAGAGGTTCAGTGTCAGATTGCCATTCCTTCTGTGGCACCTGTTTAAGCAGGGACCATGGGGTGATTCGAGCAAGTGTTTGTCTCCCTTTAAAGAGAAGCAGAAAAACCCCAACAGCAAGACCACTGAGAGTGCTGCTTAACATTGAAAGTACTTAGGCCACTTTTTGAAAATACGTGGCTAGACAGTTATCACTGACCCGAGAGAAGCCTGTGCTATCTGCAGTCTACCGAAAAAAAGGCGTTGAAGACCGTATTCAACTCTCAGGAAGTGGTTGGAAAGAACCAGTAGGTATTAGCAGCTTCTGTTGAATTAGTGGATGCACGTGGACGCCTCCCCTACAGGGTCCCAGATCAATAAGGAAAGGAAGTAAGTTAGATGTAGACTGAAAGAAAGTCTACGCAGTGACCACTAACAGTAGTTGGTTAGCAAAGGCTAGAGAAATGGAAATGGCTGCAGCGAAAGGTAACAACAGAGTTATTTAGATTTATCAAGGAAACTGGGGCGAAAAGGTCAATGGTTAGTCAGAATATCATAGTGAAGGATGAGGCTTTGATTCACTCACAGAGACGACTGGAGCGATGAGTGAAACACCTTGATGAACACTTCAACTAACTTATGGCTACTATTTCGTTGCCCCCTAGCCAGTCGTATCCTGAATGGAACATTAGAGGCGAGACCTCCAAAACTTACAGAAGTCGAGCAAGCTGTAAGTAATCCAAAACGACGAAGGACAGCATGTCCAGACGCAGGAGAACCGGAGATATTTAAAGAAAGTGATAGGGGACTACAAATCAAGTCAACTGCATTGTTAACTGGAGAGTGGAAGTTAGATATGATCCATTTTGACTGGTCTCATTCACTGACTGCTCAAGTCTTCAAGTCAGTAAAAATTCCTTTGCGATGACCGAAAAATCGCCCTGACGAAAATAGTGTATGAGATCCTAGGTTCTACAATTATAAGATGTCTGATCGGATCTTCAGAACATCAACCCCGAGAAAACTAGGCAGGTTTCAGTCCCAGCAGTGGATGTACTGACCATATATTCACCCTCTGTAGGTTCTGAAACACAGAGGCACTTACCGATGCCCGACACTGGCTGTATTTCTAGACCTTCGTCAACCGAAACTTCTCATGGCAGTGCCTCTCCCAGAAAAGGTTGACGACTAAGTACACCACTTTCTTGAAAACTATGCACTCAAATAGGTGTGAATGTGTTAGAGGCTGTGATGAGATTCGTAGGTCGAGTAGCGTCCATCAGGGATGTCCACTCATTATTTCTCAGTCTCATCAAAGACATACCAACAGAGGTCTCTCTTTCATAGTCTGAATTTTTATCTTATCACAGGATACTGCTCAATAGATCTAGAGTATATAGATGACATAGTCATGTTAGATGAAGATGCTTACAAGATACAGTCTTCTGGACACCCTGAGTGCTAGTCTGAAAATATTTGGGTTGCTTTTCTCGCCACCCAAATGGGAATTGTTGCTCCAGGTCTGGTCTCACTGGCGCCTTTTCCAACAGTTAGGAATGAAATGGTTTAGTGCGTGGCCATTTCACTTACCTCGGAAATCGAACAAGCTTTATGGGTCAGTGGTCGACGAAATTTCTGCACAGATACAAAATGCTTGATTAGCTTTTAGCAACTCATGCCACTTATGACCCTCCCATCATATTCGACTGTCTATTACGGATCGAGTGTACTGAGCTGCAGTTCGTTCTCTTTTACCACATGGCTGTCAAACATGGCCATTAAAGGTACAGTACCTGAGAAGGCTTCA